CAGAGAACATCTTTCAGGTGTCAGTTCACTCTTTCCACCATGTGGGTCCTAGGGGTAGAACTCATGCCGCGAGGCTTGTCAGCAAGCACTTTTACCCACTGAGCCATCTTGCCAGCTCCTGTATTTAGTTTTTGGAGATTTCTGTGTGCTTATTTCCATAGTGGCTGTGCCAGCTCACATTCTGCCAGCACAGTGTTTAGGCTTCTTTTTGTCACCTTCTCACCAGCACTGTTGGTATTTCTGGGTGACAGCCGTTCTGGTCGAGGTGAGGCAGAATCTCAGTGTTTGTTGTCTTCTGTAACCTAGTCTGGCCTTGAATTCCTGACCCTCCCCCAGAATGCTGGGATGCAGGTATGTGCTGCCATGCCTGCTGTTGACATGATGCTGGAGATTAAACTCAGGGCCTATCAGCCGAGCTGCATCCCCAGCCCTCAGAGCGGTCTGGCGTTCCCGAGAGGAGGCGCTTATCTTAGGGTTGTCAGCCCAGGCCCTCCTGCCTTCTTCCAGCCCTGGTTTGGAACCACACCATTGTCTAGCTCAGTCACTAACCCCGCTCAGACTCAGAAAGGATGGGGTGAGCAGAATTCTTCTCTAATCCGTTTATGTGAAGCCAACTTCTCCCACACCTGAGAGCCTGTCATGGTAACTTTGTGCCAATAAAGTGATTCAAAGGAAATCCTTAAAGGCCAGTACGTATTAAATTCTGGTTCCTGGTTCCCAAAGAAGACAGCAGCCTCAGAAGCACGTCATACTCGCCAGTCAATTCCAGGCACAGTTCCTTAGCCCGACAGCTGAAGAGGGATTGTGGTACAGTGTCCTGGGGACAGCAAGGGGCGATTAGGTGACAGGAGAGACTGGAAAGGTCAGTCACCTCAACCACTAGCTTTCAGCAGGGCACAAGAATAAGGGGCTGGTTAATTATTTAATTAAACATTTTAATAATGTATCTCTTTAAAATTTGTTCACCATCTCTTTCTTTCTCTCTGTGTGGGTGCGTGCATGTGTGCGCGTGCACTCTCTGATGTGTGGAGGTCAAAGGGCAGCTTTCAGGACTTGGGTATGGCTTCTTGTTGAGGCAGGGTTCTCTTTTCTGCTAGTCAGGTTGGCTCTTGGGCTTTTAAGAGATTCTCCCTTCTCCAGGTAGGAGTGTTGGAATTGCAGATATGCTCTACCACACCCAGCTTTTAAATTTTATTTATTTATTTTTGCATAGGGGCATGTGGGTTCATGTGCATGCCAAGATGCAGGTATGGAGGTCAGGAGACCGTTTGAGGCGGTGGGCTCTAACCTTCTATTGAAGGTCCTGGGATCAAATTCAGGTCAGTAGGCCAGTGTCTTTACCTGATAAGTCATCTTGTCACATCCCATACCGGTTTGTTTTTGAGACAAGGTCTAGCTAATAGGAACTCACAGAGAACAGCCACCTCTGCCTTCCAAGGGCTGGGACTAAAGGAATGCACTGTCAAGCCCCACCAACATCTGGTTTTTATTGAAGGGTTGAAATTGTTGTCAGGTTTGCATGGCTAGTTCCTTTCTCATGGTTTGAGACAGGGTCTCCTGTAGCACAAGCTAGTCTTGAACTTAGTACATAGCTGAGGATGACCAAGACTCCTGATCCTCTTGCCTCACCTCCCGTGTGCTGGTGTGTGTCACCAGGCTAGATGGCTCCACAAGGGAGGTGTTAATTCCTGGTGGCTAGACTATCATCTAAGGATGCCGGCAGCTTTCCCCCTATGGCGAAGCACCTTCTAGATTTGGATTGAGTCCGGAGCTTGTTTTCTACTCTAAAGCCGGGTACAGGCAGTGTTTACAGTGTACCATCATCCCCAACAGATGGTTGTGAACGCCCAAGAATGTTCTAGAAGATCTTTTTCCAAAATGCTAAAGCATTTAGCTATCCCTCATGAGTCAGAGGAGAAAACTGGGAGGGTTCACATTCCAGGGAGTGCCAGCTGTGCCTTCTGATGCTTTGGGACACCCCTGTCAACCTATGACATTCTAACCTCATAATTACAGGTGACGCTTGGTACTCAATGTTCCAGGCACATTTTTTGGCATTCTAAAGACATCGTCCTCATGCTATGAAGGTCATAGTGAGATTAGGTACTGTCATCACCCTGATGTTACCAAAGGAGAAGCTGAGTCACAGAGCAGTTATAGACTTTGTCCAGTGACACAGAGCGCTGGAGCCTGTGCACAAAGCCATGGTGCTGACCACTGGGCATTGCCCCATAGATGCCTATCCCGGGTCCTCAGGACCCTTCAGAGTTCTGTGCACACGAGGTAGAATTCAGCATGTTCCACTCTCGAGGCCATAGGCTGTTCTCAGCTGCACCTCTTTCTCCAGGAAGGATGTTGACATTGGAACAGACGGGCTTTAATACTGGTGAAGTTGCCACAGTTTGAAGGATTTCCACACAACTCACCTTGCAATTTGTCTTTTATTATTATTATTTTTTAAAAAGTTTAAATTAGGGCTGGAGAGATGGCTCAGAGGTTAAGAGCACTGGCTGCTCTTCCAGAGGTCATGAGTTCAATTCCCAGCAACCACATGGTGGTTCACAACCATCTAAAAAAAATGAAATCTGATACCCTCTTCTGGCATGCAGCTGTACATGTAAACACAACATTGTATACATAATAAATAAATAAATCTTTAAAAAAATGTTTAAATTATTTTTGTGTGTGCCCCCATGCATATACGCACTTTAGTGTGCATAATGGCCAAGTCCGTGTGTGAGCTCAGAGGATGATTTGAAATGTTGAGTCTCAGCGATGAGACCCAGGTTGTTGGACTTGAACTCAGGACATCAGACTTGACAATAGGCACCACTGAACCTTCTTGCTGGCCCTATTTTATTTTTAAAAGACTTCATTGATTGGTATTATAGACTTTGTTTCACCTGCATGTATATATATGTCACCACTTGTGTGAAGTACCTGCAGAGTTCAGAAGCTGTTGGATTCCCTGGAACTGGAATTACAAACAATTTTGAGGTGCCAGGTGGGTACTGGGAACCGAACTTCCCCAAGAACAAGTGTTCTTAACTGCTGAGCCATCTCACCAGCTCCATCTCTCTCTCTCTCTCTCTCTCTCTCTCTCTCTCTCTCTCTGAGTCAGGGTTTCTCTGTGTAGCCTTGGCTATTCTGGACTCGCTTTATAGGCCAGGCTGGCTTCGAAGTCACAGAGACCTGCCTGTCTCTGCCTTCCTGAGTGCTGGGATTACAGGTATGCACCACTGTGCCTGGCCCTGCTCTGTCTCTCTGTCTGTCTATCTATCTATCTATCTATCTATCTATCTATCTATCTATCTATCTATCTATCTATCTATCTATCTGTTTGTCTGTTCGTCCGTCCATCCATCCATCCATCCATCCATCCATCCATCCATCCATCCATCCATCCATCCATCTATTTGAGTCAGGCTCTCATATCCTGGGCTGGGCTCAAATTCTCTATGGAACCAAGGATGACTTTGAACCTGTGATGGCTTTGCATCACTGTTGAGGGCAGGGCTTGTAGGCATGCGCCATTGCTTGGTGCATACATGCTGGGGATGACTCAAGGCTTCAGACATGTTGGGTAAGCACTCCTCTCGTTAGCATCCTCCAGTTTCACACTGTAATTTCATTACCACTCTAGCAGTAGTAAGAAGCGGGACCTCAGGGCAGGCATAGTGGCACACATCTGTAATGGGAGACTGAGGTAGAAGAAGTACTGTGAGTCTGAGGCTAACCTGGACTACAGTGCTAGGCACTGTTTTAGAAAAAAAAAAAAAAAAAAAAAAAGCAAAATGACAACAGATGAGGTAGGATTGTTAGGAGGTGACTTGTTTTTGGGTCTTCTGGTGGGATCCATGCCACTCTGTCAGGAGTGTGTGTGTTCCATGGTGTGACTTTGTCTTAACTCCGGCCCCTCTCCCCATCTGTCTCACATGTTTTTGTCCTACTGCCATGCCGTGCAGCAGTGTACAGACCCTCACTTGATGCCAGTGCCGTGCCCCTGCCTTTCACAGACTCCAGAGGCGTAGGCCAAATAAACCTCTGTGGTAGTTTGAATAGGTAGGGCCCCACAGACTCATGTGTTGGAATGCTTGGCCCATTGGGAGTTACACTATTAGGAGGTGTGGCCTTGTTGGAGGAAGTGTGTCACTGTGGGTTGGGGGAGGCTTTGAGGTCTCCTATGCTCAAGCTATGCCCCTGTGGTACACAGTCTCCTTCTTCTGCCTGTGTATCAAGAACGTAGAACTCTCAGCTCCTTCTCCAGCACCATGTCTGTCTAGACACTGCCATGCTTCTCACCACAATGATAATGGGCTAAATCTCTGAAACTAAGCCGGCCTTATTAAATGGTTGCCTTTATAAGAATTGCCTTAGCTGGGCATGGTTGAACATTTAAATCTCAGCACTTGGGAGGCAGAGACAGGTGGATCGCTGTGAGTTCAAGGCCAGCCTGGTCTACAAAGCGAGTGCAGTACAGCTAGGGCTATTATACAGAGAAACCCTGTCTCAAAAAACAAAACAAAACAAAAAAAAAATTGCCTTGCTCATGGTGGCTCTTCATAGCAATAAAACCCTAAGACAACTTCCATTGTGTATAAATCATCCAGATCCTGTTATTGTGATGCAGTTGCAGAGAACAGAGTAGAACACTGGGTCCATTCAGGATTTGTGTTGACTGAGATCAGGAACTTGAAACAGAGATGCTGAAGTCATCCAAGATTGTCCTTATGGCTGAGAAAACAAGACTGAGCTCCTAACAGGGTATGTTGGCTCACACCTGTTATCCTAGCACCGGAGAGTGGAGGCAGGAGGATCATGAGCACAAGCCGAACTACACATCAAGATCTGACGCACAGCTGGACATGCTCTTTAATCCCAGCACTCGGGAGGCAGAAGCAGGCAGGACTCTGTGAGTCCCAGTCCAGCCATGCACAGGGAGACCCTGTCTCAACAGACAAGTGATCTGACAGATGTACACAAGACACAAAAGACTCAGCTCCAACTACTGTGCTTTATGCATTCTGCTGACATCTGGTCTACCCCACTCTCCAACCTGCCTTCCCTGGCCCTGCTTTCCCAAGACTTCTGAACACATGGATGTGATAACGGGGTCACAGCTGGTCACTTTCCTCAAATGCCCCGTCAGCATGTGACCCCTGACTCCAGGGCCTAAGGAGAAGTGGTAAGGGGCCTGCCAATCCTCTGGATGCCAGGCATGGCAGCATCATCTTGGCAGTGGCTTGCTGCTGACTGTGTGGGTGGATGTGGCTCTCCATTGTCTGGGTGGTCGTCTGCCAGGATGTAGAGAAAGCCACCCAGGGCTGCGACTGCGGTGGCCGTGTTGTGGCAAGAACAGCCATCTGTGGGGGGGAAGAGAGGTCCCGGGAGCAAATTTGGCTCTTTGTTCAATACACTCCATCATAAATGCTTTATGAGGCCCCCCCCCCCCAGTCCGCCAGGCACTGCGGGGGCATATTGACGTCCTGTGCCAAACTAAGAAGCCCATCATAGATGCTGACCCTTGCTCCTACAAGCAGGCGGACTCATCAGTGGCTCAGGCCTTTTTCTACCGAATGCAAACTGTTGGAAGGGAGCAAACAGAGGTGGGGCAAGCTTAGTGGTAGAGCACTCAGCTAGGATGCCCAAGGCCCTTGGTCTTATCCCCTGATACTGAGGAAAACCACCACCAGACAGGCGAAGGCCTTGATTAGTTGGGTGCTGGGTAAGGGAGCCCCTGGGTATTTGTCACCTGTGAACAGTTTTTCCCGCCTTCGCACTCTTCTCAGATTGCTGTGCTGATGTGGAACTTCCGGAAGTTCACCTTTCGGGGCTGGAGAAGAGCCAAAAGGGGAGGTTTTCAGGGTAAACTTTAGCACTAACTCAACAAGCCTTTCCCCTCCTGACTTCTCAAGGGACCCAGATGCTTTAGGTTTCTGTGTGCCTATCCACAGATCCCACCTGAAAGGTCCCAAACGTGCAAATCCCACACGTGTCCAAGCTCCACCCCGCTACATCATAATCGCTTGAGGGGCTTGAGGAATGCAAGGGTCTGCTCTGCTTGACCACTCACTTTTAAGTGTTGGGCCTAGGACTCTGCATTTTATAAACCATTGTAATATTGTTTTTGTTATTGAGACATTATGTAGCTCTGGCTGTCCTGGAACTCACTCTGTAGAACAGGCTGGCCTTGAACTCACAGAGATCCACCTATCTCTGCTTTTTAAGTGCTGGGATTAAAGGCATGGACCTCCATGCCGAGGCTATTGTTTTGAGATAGGTTCTCACTCTATAGCCCAGGCTGGCGGTGTACTTGTAACAATCCTCCTGCATCAGCCCCCCAAACATTTGTATTCTAATAGATGTAAGCCACTCACTATAAGCTTTTTTTCGAAACTTTTCACTTATTTATTATTTATTTTTGTGGTACTTGGGGTTGAATCTGTGGTCTTACACATGTGGTCTTTCGCTCACCACTCAGCCTTTTAAAATCATTATTAGGGCTGGAGAGATGACTGAGCAGTCAAGAGTATTGGCTCTCCCAGAGGATAATTTTGATTCCCAGCACCAATGCAGCAACTCAACCATCTGTAACTGCAGTCCTAGGGGACTGGAGTCCTCTTCTGACCTCTGTGGGCACTGCATGCCTATGTCGCACAGACGTAATATATGTGGCAAAACACTCATACACATAAAAATGAATTAAAAATAAAATTACTATTACATTTAATTATTTGGATGAGTGTGTGTGTAGAGGCCAGAAGACAAATATGGGCGTCAGTTCTCTTCTACCACATGGGTCCAGATCATCAGATTTGGTGGCAGGGGCCTTTACACCCTAAGTTTTCTTGAAACTCTGATCCCTTTGTAAAGTTATTTTGAGGCTGGGTCACTGAGTTGCTCAGGCCAGCCTGAAATGCACCCTGAGGCCGGGCAGGCCTCGGGCTTCTGGCCCTCTGGCCACCCTCTCTTCAGTGGCTAGGGTGACAGGGCTGCATCACCACAGCATCTTAGCTTCCCCTTATCTCAAACACAGTTGCTGCCGGAAGGACCCCAGCCTTCGTGATAGAGGAGCCCACCCTGTGGCAGGCACAAATGAGGGGTTCATAGAAGGTGGTGATGCTTCTGCTCATTTACTTACAGAAATTGAGGCTCAGAGAGTAAAGTGACTTAGCTCAAAGACAACCTGAAGTCACATGCCACGAGGTTGGAAAGGCTCATCCGGGGCTCCTTAACTACATACCTCCTCCAGGTGGCCTCCCTGACAGCTTTGTCTAAAGAGCCTTCCCAGTGTTCTCTGCTTTCTCAGCCATTGGTGGAAGTTGGCATGACCCCCATTGGTGTGTTCAGGGGGGTTCTACCCCTTTGCTTCTGCTCTGACCTTCCCCGGCACCTAGGTAACTCTGGCACATCCACAGATGCTCAGGAAATGAGGAAGGAAGGCATTTGTTAAGATAGGTGCTGTGGGCCAAGCTGTCCCGCAGGACTGCCTTCCCACTTGCTGAACTGGACTCTCAGAATGCCAAGCCCATCTACACCCATGTGTGTGCTCACTTGTTCTAAATCACCATCAGTTCTCAGTGCCGGTACATCCTTTTCTTGAGTGACCCAGAAGCTGGGACCCCACCACCAACTGCTTCCTGCTAGGGCAGACAGGCAACTCACCAGGTTTCCCAAAGCATCCCACCTCGGGGTTCTGCCAGCTGAGAATGGCTTCCAGCCAGTGCAGCTTGTAGAAGTCGGAGAAGCCGGCCATACCACAGAACATAACTGCAAACACACCAAGGTCCCTCTGTAGGCCTGTTTCCACCTCCTCCCATGTCCCTGGGACCACAAGGGGGTTCTTTTTCCCCCTCTATGTAGCCTTAGCTGTCTTGGACTTGTTCTGTACACCAGGCTGTCCTTGAACCCACAGAAATCCGCTTGCCTTTGCCTCTCTGAGTGCTGGGATTACAGGCATGTGCCACTATGCCTGGCTTCAAAGAGCCTGTCTCTGCTGCCTCTGCTCTAGGGTTCCAGGGGCAGGAAGGAGGTTTTGTCTCGGCCACCAGAGGTTCCCAGGCCCTAGTCTGTTGCTATCATGGGGCTGTGGGAGTCAGACTTCATGGGGATGTCACCCCAGCAAAAAAACAGACACCCAGGGGCCCTTTCTCTTTATCTCCAAGCCCTTGGGGGTTAGGGTCTGTGTGACAGCTGATCAGCCTGTCCAGAACTTTCCCAGTAGATCAGACTAGGGGGACAAGAAGCAGTCACTGTGGCAAGTAAACACACAATGGTCAGTTACATTTAGGCCCCTAATAAGCAACAAACATGTGTGCATGTATTTGGAGGTCATAGGTTAACTACGGCATCATTTCTAAAGAGCTGTCCGCCTTATTTTTTTTTTATTACATTATTTATTTTCTTATTGTTTGTGGGCATGTGTGTGTGTGTGTGTGTGAAGGCACATGTGTAGAGATCAGAGGACAACTCGTGGGAGCTGATTCTCTCCTTCCACGATGTAGACCTCAGGGACTGAATTCATGTCCTCAGGCATAAAGGCAAGCACTTTTTTTTTTTTTTTTTTTTTTTTTCACTCCCTGAGCCATCTAGCCAGTTCCACCTTGTTTTTTAAGACAGGGTGAGACAAGGTCTCCACCTTGTTTTTTAAGACAAGGTCTTGGTGAGACCTGTGACTTACCCAGTCACTTAAGCTGGCTGGCTACCAAGTCCAGGGCGTCCACCTGTCTCTACCTCCCCAGCACCCCCAGGGAGCTGCCTGTCTCAGCCTTCTTCATGAAAACCTGGTATTTTCACAGGAGTGCTGGGGATCAAACTCAGCTCCTCATGCTTGCAGGACACCCTTCGCCGACTAAACTATCTCCCTAGGCCTGTACCCTCTGTGTTTACTTGCTTCATTTAGCGATCCTGAGTGTGTGCATGAGGCCCCTTTGTCAACACCCCGCTACTCTACACTGAGGGCAGAAGGCTGGGCTCACTGTTTTCCATGAAGAGGTCTTGGGTGGGGTAGGTGTATCCGATGGCCTCTGCTCTTCGGTTCAGATCCATCATATTGGCACAGAAGATGTTCATGTACTGCTGGCTCTGCTGGAACAGCCCCTCCGTGCACCCTTGCTGGGGAACAGACAGCAGGAGATGAGAAAGTAGGTGTGTGCAAGACACATGCTCAGTCGGGGAAGGCCTGCAGCTCTGAGCTGGTTCTCCAGGGCAGGGTTTGGAGGAAGGTCTGTCCTCCTTCTGCAGTCACACTCCCCTCCCTGCAGGTCACTGGAGTCAGCTTACATTCAGGCTTGGTCACTATTTAGCTTTTCTGAGCCTCAAAGTCTTTTTCCAGAAAGGGAAGGACAAGCAGATGTGTCCAAAGTTTTGATATCCTGGGCTGCTATCATCCCACTGTAGACTTACAAAAGAATCTCAGGAAATGTTATAATGTTTTAAGTAGCATTCCAGTTTTGTGTTGTGATGCACTCACAGCTTGGACACTATTGGGGGAGCTTGTGCTAGAGGGTGTTTTGCTCTGGTGGACAATGTAGCTTGGTAATGTCTGACATGAGAATGAACACAGGGTGACACTCTGCAAATCTTAACCTCTTCACTGAGGGCTCAGAGGCAGCTTCACGTGCTGCTAGAAAGTGTGGGAGCCACACAGGGTCTCCACCCCATTCTGTGGTAGGAGAAAGGGAGTTGAGAACAGCCTTCCTTTCTCTGCTCAGCACTTACCATTCTGGCCCAGAGGAAGAAGAGCAGCTGGTGGGACAGGCTGTAGCCTGAGCAGCCTGGCTTGGTCATAAGAGTTCTGCAGAAGTTGGAGAGCCTGCAAGGCTGGCTGCTGTCTGTCCTGGGAGGGGACAACCCAGCCTGATGAGGACAATGCTCCCTGTCAATCCCACCTGAGGTCTGCCCACCCTGTGTTTCTCTCCATGGTTGTTAGGGTGAAGGTTCTGGGCTGGGTACAAGAGTTGCCAAATAAAGCCCAGGTATCCTGGGTCTTACTTTGTTTTGAGACAAGGCCTTTATTCTGCAGCCCAGTCCTCCTGTTTCAGCCTCCTTGAGTTCTGAGACTACAGATATATAACATTATGACTGGCTCTGTCCTGGTCTTGATCTAGCTCAGAGGACACAGTGCTGAACTGTCCTGGGCTTGGACAGCCATAAGCATCTGACTTCCTGTTGCTCCATGAAGTCCTCAAATACCTTTCCTATCAGTCTCCTAAAAAAAGGACCATTCAAACCCAGCACTTTGGGGAGTGTGGTCAGGGCTCAACACACTTACTTACTCATACCCTATATGACAATATAGGTCACCATCTAGAGTGCAGCCCCTCTGTGGGTCAGCTGTGGCTTGATATCTTCTCTGAGGGAGGCTGAGAATATAATGCCCCCTCCAGTCTGCCCTTCCCCCTGCACTAAAGTGCCCTAGACCTTGCTGTAGGAAGAAATGGGAAGTAAGTAAGATCAGTACTGCCTTCCTAGACCCATGGAGTCTGTAAAGAGTCTCCAGAGGCAGGATGGGAGGCCAGGGACTGGGGCTTTGTCCTGTGTATAGAGGGACTCAGAGAAAGCCACTCTGGGGAGGAGATCAAATGCTATGGTCCAGGAAAAGTGAGATCTGGTCTTTGTGGAGTCAGAGGTGAGGGAGAGGGCCACTGAGTGCCTGTGCGCATGCACCTGCATTTGCTCTGGTTGTGGCCAAGGGGGCACTATGGGGCTTTTGGGCACTGGGGAGATGGGGTACCCACCCTGTTCCTAGCAGTTGCACCAGGCATGCATCACTGCTGTCCTCTGAGAAAAAGTCCAGGGGGTCCAGCCAGGCGTACACCAGGGCGGCATCGGTGCGTGTCCAGGCATGGGGCAACTTCCAAAACCCAGGCTGAATGCTTGGCTGGAACGCTGAAGCGAAGGAGAGGTAGGAAGTGTGCTGAGTGATCAGGAACCAAGGGCTACAGCACTGCTGATTATTCCCAGCTCAGGAAGTGCAAGTGCTTCTGTCATGGTTGTGTTTTCTATGCTGAGAGAAAACACCATGGCTCAAAGCAACTTGGGGAGGAAAGGGTTTATTTCAGCTTAAAACTCTCGGGTCACACTCCATCACTGAGGGAAGTGAGGGCAGAGCAGGAAACTGGAGGCAGACGCTGGTGCAGAGGCTGTGAAAGAGTGTTTGCTCAGCCTGCTTTCTCATAGCACTCTCCCAGGAGTGACACCACCAGTGGCGAGATGGGCCCTCCTGCCTCAATCACCAATCAAGAAGAAACACTGCAGACCCTCCTACAGGCAAATCTTATGGAGGCAATTTCTCAGCATCGAGTCCCTCCTCCCAAATTACCATATCATTGGCAGGAGACCCTCCCTGGAACCTAATCCCGTGACTGGTGGCAGGTCTGTCTGAGCCTTGCCTGATGGAGCAGGAGGTTTGAGTCACACCAGTTACCCTTTTCTGTCATGTCTCCTGTAGCCCAGGCTGTCCTCAAACTCACTGTACAGCTGATGACCTTGAACTCCTGACCCACCCCAACAAGTGCTGGGATTATGAGCATTTTACCACCACAGCTGGTTTATACAGTGCTGGGTAGGAAACCAGGGCTTTGTATGTGTTAGGCAAGCACTCTCCAACTGAGCTGCATCTCTAGTCCTTGGTGCCCTTTTCTAAAACAACAAAAGCAGAACATCTTCCCTAACTAATAGGGTGCAGGATGTTAGGCATGCATGTGGTACTCAGACATATATGCACGTGGAACACTCAAACATGTAAATACTCTTTCAAAATACTTGAGGGGAGGCTGTTATGACCCTGAAATGCATAAAGCTTCTCATTTTCTAGGAAAGGAACATGCCCCTGGTCAATAGCATGAATTTATGGACAGGCTTTGCCTAGATCCACAACATTCCCTGGAAGTGTGAGGTGTTGATAGATGGCCCCAGACCTCCTGGGTGAGGCTGTACAAAGGTGGAATTCTTATAAACTCAGTGACCAGCCAGGGGCTTCTGAGGAGGCTGGCACAGTGTTAAGGGCCTGGTCTTATCACCACACAGCTTCATCTGTGCAGTAAGACAGCGGAGGAAGCTGAAACCATCCAAGCGGCCTGGAAGAGAATGTGACCTGCCAGGCCAACTACAAGTCAATCAGGGAGCTTGTTGGTTTCCAGGGACTGGGAATTAGATAGCTCTGACAGGCAGATAGGGAAGGAGGCCTTAGATGGATGTTCAAGGAGATAAACTTCGGGCTTCTGCCTCACCTTCCTTACCTGCCTGAGCCTAAGGCTTTTTCTCTTACCTGTGGGTCCTCCCTTCTGGCTGATTGGCCCAGGCTGTTCAGATATGCTCAAGGCTGGACCAGAATATGTTGACCTAGAGCTATGGGCTTCTCAGCTTCCCTTTCTTCGTCTAAACTGACCAATCCTAAATTAAGGGAAAGATGCTCATTCCAGCTCACCAAGGACTCTTAAAACCCCCAGACCCTCAGAAGAGCGTCCCCTGCCTTGCAAGGGGGCCATCTCTCTGTGTCCCTTTCTGTGTGCACACCCATTCACTCTTAAGCTGCTGATTCTGCTCTCTGAGATTTTCCCTGCTGTGACCTGTTGTGCTCCGGAGTTTTCCTGCCTTTTCATTCTTTTATTAGCAGAGAAAGCGAACCTGCTCTAGACCTTTAGATGATAACAGTTCCAGCTGGTAAGTCATTGTCCATGCTGGGATGAGCTTTCAATGACTCCCTACTTCTGTTAGCAGCCCTGATAACTCACTGTTTTGATCTGTTATTGTTCCCCTATCTGGGCCAAAAAGACATTCATGTCTCCCCAAGAAAAGTGTCACACACCTGGCACAGGTGTTACACATGTCCCCATCCTAGCAGGAACAGATAAGTCAGGCTTATAGGCTGGAAGCCTCTGTGGGATCTGCAAAGGGGACAAGGTGTTGGACTTTGATGCAAAAAAGTGGTAGGATTAAGGTTCTCTGTAAAAAACGATGAACACCTTTTTAATATTCCAGCGATGAAAGCAGGTCACATCAGACCTGCCTGAAACCAGGAAGTGACTGGGTCACCTGTGGCTTCCTGACGACTGGTATGGGCTGCTCTGATCTGCCTTGCTTCAGGAGGTGGCCCTACCCAAGCATTTCAGGAACACGCTGGATGCTGCCTTTGATGCGATAGGCCCGCCCTGCTCTTACCTCTTAGATATGTGGGGTCACTCTGCTTGAGGTAGAAGATGGATTTTTGGAGGAGAGCAGACAGTGTGTTGGCCAGCTGTCCAGCACGTAAGCTGAGTGGGTGCAGCAAGGGGTTGAGATTCCATTTTTCCTGGACTCCTCGAAGTTGCACTGAAAGGGGAGGTCAGAAGTCATTCAGCCTAACATCTGACCAAGTACGAGTGCAGGGAAAACGCCCTCAGTTTTACTCATGGCCCTCAGTAGAAATCAGGCTTTTGTAAAGCTGATCAGGGCTGTGGGTGTGGCTAAGAGCTTGGATTCTAGAATTGGGCTTGGCTTCAAGTCTTGATTCTCTATGCTTTCTCAAAAACTGGCCAGAAAAAAAAAAAAAATCAATTTCCCTCTGTCATCATCACAAATTATTATTTCATGGGGGTGTTTTAGGGATTAAATGAACTAATGTGTAGAGACTTATAATCTTCTATTGTACAAAAGAAACAGTTAATGTTCAGCTTTTGTATTGACTTGGCACCCTGCTCTCTGTAAAAGATAGGTAGGGAGGAGTCTAGACTGGTAGAGACCTCTGGTGGTGTGAACTTGCTCTTAGGGCTGGTGTCTACTCCCCTACCATTTAAGATATCTTGCTGGGCCATGGTGGAACGCACCTTTAATCCCAACACTTGGGAGGCAGAGGCAAATGAACCTTTGAGTTTGAGGCCAGTCTGGTCTACAGAGCAAGTTGCACAACATCCAGGGCTACACAGAGAAACAAACAAACAACAAAAAAGAGACATCTTCATAAAAATATGGAGGGAGTTAGGCACTGTACCTGCTCTGCCTAATAGAAAAGCCAGCCCTAGGAAAAGTATAACTATTATTTTTCCTCTTCCTCCTCCTTCTCCCTCTTTTGCTTCTGTGCTGGACTTCCCTCCTTTTTTTTATTTTATTTTACTTTTGAGAGAGAGTCTCTCTGTGTAGTCCTGGCTCTCCTGGAACTCACTATGTAGAATCAGCTGGCCTCAAACTCACAAAAACTCACCTGCCTCTGCCACCTGTGCACTGGGATTAACAAGTACACATCACCACGCCTAGCTTATACGTCTTAATCTTTAGAGGAATTTGGCACTGCTGTGTATGTCTCTCTCTCACTAGTCTCAGCCCAGAGAGGATGAGGGTTTCCATGGAGATACCCACTTCCCAAGCCCAGGCAGATACCAGGCAGGGACCTTTGTCACTTTGGGCGGTGGGCTCCTGCTCACTACAGGTGTACTTGTGTGCGGGCACACCATTGTGTCCTGAGTGTCTTGGCAAGGGTCCAGTCCGCTCCATACGGAGCTTATGCCTCCCAAAGCTAACAAACACTTGGCTATTTTCTCAGGACCTTTAGCTGCCTTTGACAGAAGGGGAGGAAACCAGGTTGGGGGAGGGTTCCTGTTTTGTCTGCAGCCACCCTTAGGGGACTGACTTTTCCTTAAGGACCATTAAAAGGGCTCACACTGCATTCACAGCTTGTCAGGAAGGGCTGTCAAAGGAATCTTTTTCTCCTGAGACTATAATTTCCAAATCTTTCTCATGTTGCCTTTAAGTCCTTTGTCATTCTACAAAGTTCAGTAAGAGCTGGCAGAGAACCACACACTCAGGAAGTGCCCTGGGTCTTCATCTTATCCAAGGGAAAGCACTTGGGTTTCAGGTTCTAGGAGAACTGGTTTTCCTACCAGCCACCTGGGAGCAAGGCACACATACCTTCCAGCACTTGGAATCCCACCACACCGTCCAGGTTGATTGAGGGCAGCCTGTCTTCTAGGAACAAGGTGGCTTTCTCCAGCGCTGTCAGGATCAGGCCAACCATGGTGCCCTGTGCAGTGGCTGGCCATGGCAGTGGGGAGGGCTGTGGTGGCAGGGCCAGCAGCAGGAAAAGAAGCAGCCTGAACCTTGCCATTAAGTTTTCTGCTGGCGGATGGTCACACCCTGTAGTGGCAGGCACTTACCGAGATCCTCTAAATGCCTTGTTCCCGCCTCTTCCTCCACCCCTCTTCCCCAGGAAGAGTTGGAGACAAGTGCCAGGGCAGGGCCCCGAGCATGGTCGGTCCATTCCTGAATATCAGGTTTGCTAGTTGCTAATTGGGGCAGGGAACCCACCTTTGTCTTTATGTATGGGTGTATGGGATACGGGTGTGAGTTTGTGTGGGTGAATGCACCTGTAGGTGTGTGTGTGCCGGTGGAAGATAGAGTCCAGCTTCTGGTATCCTTGTGTAGGAGCCATCCTTGATTTTGGAGGTAGAGCCTCTTATTGGCCTGGGATTTGTGAGGCAGTCAAAGCCTGTAAGCCCTAGGGATTCTCCTGTCTCGACCTCCTGGTTCGGGGACTACAAGCAAGTCATTATGGAGACAGGGTTTTTCTGTATAGCCCTGGTTGTCCTGGTCTGGCCTTGAACTCACAGAGATTCATCTGCTTCTGTCTCCCAAGTGCTGGGATCAAAGTCATGGCCACCGTCACGCCTGGCTTTTTAGGTTCTGGGGGTTGAACTCAAGTCCTCACACTTGCTCGGCAAGCGCTTCACTGTCTGAACTGTCTTCCCAGCCCCTTTATTTTTCCCGGTCTAGTTTTCCATTGCTGTCTTAGCTATGGTGACTGAAGCTAAAATATCCAAAGCCCCCATCCCTGACCCAGGATCTCACTGTGTATCCCTAGCTGTCCTGTAACTCACTCTGTAGACCAGGCTGACCTCAAACTCAAGAGATCTGCCTGCTTCTGTCTCTCGAGCGCTGGGATTAAAGGTGTGTGCCACTATGCCTCACAAGTTTGCTTGATTTAAGTAAGTTTGGAACTAGCTCATTGGCAGACACACCTGTTTTCACAAGCTTTCTCAGAGTGGCACTTAACTAGTAGAGCCAGAATTGAAGTTGTAAAGATGGGTGGTTTGAACAGGAATGGCCCCCAAGGCCTCATGTGTTTGAAAGCTTGGCCCATAAGGAATGGCACTATTAGGAGGTGCAGCTTTGTTGTGTAAGACCTGGAGTCTCACTGCTCAGGATCGAGCCCTTCCCAAGAAGGCCCACAGACCACAGCTCGATGCAAAAGCAAGAGGTTTTATTGCTCTCGAGATAGGGTCGCCCCTCCAAAGATAGGAGATGACCCCGAACATGCAAAGCACAGGGTTTTTATACCTGAAAATCAGGTCACTTTTGCTCTATGGTTTACAGCTGGTTGTAGATAGTTTATAGCTGGTTGTTTCTCAGAACAGTTCACCCCACCCTTCAAGAGCTCTCTGCACCTGGCTTCAATTCAAAGAATCACCGTTGTTTCTCATTCCCAGGTGGTCCCTCAGCTGGAGTAGGTGTGGCCTTGTTGGAGGAAATACGTCACTGTGGAGGTGGGCCTTGAGGTCTCATATGCTCAAGCTAGGCCTAGTGTGGAAGTCTCCTTCTGCTGCCTGTGGATCAGAAATAGGACTCTCAGCTCCTTCTCCAGCACCATGTCTGCCTGCATGCTGCCATGCTTCTCCATGACAACAATAGACTAAACTTCTGTATCTGTAATCCAGCCCCAGTGAAATGTTTTCTTTTATCTGGGAGGCAGAGGCAGACAGATTGCTCAGAGTTTGAGGCAGCCTGGACTCTAAAGTGAGTCCAGGATAGCCAGGGTTACACAGAAAAACCCTGTCTCAAAACAAGTTTTCTTTTTTAAGAGTTTCTGGTCATGGTGTCTTTTCACAGCAATAGACATTTTCACTAAGACAGAAGGTAAGCTACAAAGCAGGGTGTGGTAGAGCATGCTTGTAATCACTGAACTTGGGAGGGTGAGAAAGGAGGGTCACCTGCAAATTTGAGGACAGCTTGGAATATACAGTGAGTTCAGGATTAGCCAGTGCAACTTAATGTTACTGACCCCAAATTTAAAAAACATAAAAAAAGTGCTAAGATGTAGATCAGTGGTACAGAGTCTAAGAAATAAAACCTAGTGGTTCATTTTCAAAAATGAAAGCAGCATGGGTCAGCTTAGGTCCAATTATGAATAAACAGAAAGCACTGGTCCACTGCTGGCAGGCTACTAGCTACTGCCATCCAAATTGTAAGTCTAACTACTACCCCCAAAACTAGATGATGGGAGTGGTAAATTACTAGGTACCAAGATTGCCTAATGATCTGCAGACACGATAAGGCCATGTACCCGAGATGATTTGACATCAACAGGATGTAAACCATAGATAGACCCCTTGTTGGAATCCGTAAGCAGATACCTCTATGGCCAGCCCCAAGGGACCTGAAATACTGGATATCAGGCATCTGTGAAGCCATCTACAGACCTGAAAGTGTCTGTGTAGGGTCTGAGTCCTTTATAAGAGAACTCGCACTACCTCTCTCTCTCTCCTGCCCTGCCCAGAGATGGTCTCTGTGACCTCTTCCCTTAATAAACCTCGCACGTGGAACCAGTCTTGTGGCATGATTTGTGAACCCACCCTGTAACTGTGCTGTACAAGCCTAATATTGGTGCACTTGGCTGGAAACGGGTGCCTCCAGCGGCCACGCCGTGTGCCGGTTCCTTTTTGGTGCTGGCACCCCACTGGACTGCTGGAAACCTATTTCATTTCAAATCTGCCTGCAACCCACTTTCTGGCAACCAGATTGCTATCTGCTGCATGCAACACCCGCTGAAATGGTGAATTCCCCTCATTGGTAGCATAAACGCCTCTCTTGGTAGGGGAAAATTGACTGTTGATCGTCCAGCAACTTTCTACTACCATTTGAGATGGAAGAACCCCCAACCAAGGGCTTCACTGGCTACAGTTGACCCTTTTTGCTGATCTCCATTTAGGGCTTCCTCTTTCCCTTGGGTGAGATTTTTTTTTCCCCTTTTACATGCATGGTTTCTCCCCCTCTCATGCTCGACTAAAAAAATTCTAGTGCTAGGTAAACTGTGTCTCCTATGGGCAGCTGTGCCCTTGGCTTCTGGCCGATGCTGATGAGCTGTTGGATTAGGTAGGGCCATACTCTACAGAGACGAGCCTTGTCTTTCGGATGCCTCTGGCAGGTCACTGACTCCTACCCACAATGGGAACTGCCCATTCGTCCATTTTTCCAGCATCCCCACTGGGATGTCTTCTGGAGAATTTAAAAATCCTACACATGGAGCCTGAGTTGAAGTACTCTTAGCTCATAAGCCTTTGTAATAAAACTTGGCCTACATATTCCTTAGATAATGGTTCAAATTGGCCAATTAACAGCACATTAAATCCCACTATTTTACGGGATCTTTTTAATTACTGTCAGTGATCTGGTAGACGGAAGGATGTATCTTATGTTCAAGCATTCTCTCTCCTCTACTCTAAACCTTCTCTCTGTTCTTCCTGTTCTCCCACCCAACTTCTTCTAGCTATAAAGTCTCAGCCTCAAGAGTTCTCTACCTTTGACTTCAAGGATGAACCTCCACCTTGCCATTCTCAACCTCTGATGTCTTCTCCCCCCTCTTCTGCTTCCTCCTCTTCCTCTTTGGCTTCTCCAGAGCCCTCACCCCCTCCCCAGCAACAGGCTGTCCTAGTTGTCCTACTATGGCACATACTTTTACCCCACCAACAGCTATTAGCCCCCCTGCTACCCGTTCTCACTCTATAGCAAAGCCTGCTTCCTCTACTCAGTGTAAACCAGCCTCAGTTCTTCCCTTGTGGGAGGCGGCCGGTGTGGATGGCTTAGTTAGGGTTCACGTTCCCTTCTCATTAACTGAACTTTCTCAAGTAGAAAAGAGACTAGGATCCTATACCTCTCATCCTTCTACTTTTAAAGAATTTCAATATCTCACTCAATCTTATAGTCTTACCTTCCATGATATATATGATTCTTACCAATAACCTATTACCTGAGGAATGCAGGTGAGTTTGGGAACAGGTTAGAACGCATGCAGATAAGGCTTACCAAACAAACACAGCACACCTGGTTGGGGCTGAGGTAGTGCCCCACCAGGATCCACAATGGGATTATAATACCCTGGAAGGCATTTTAGCTCGAGATCAGGTCACAACCTGCCTCCTGAATGGTCTTTGCAAGGCTGCCCTTAGGTCAGTTAATTGTGAGAAGCTCCAGGAGGTCATTCAGGACAAGAATGAAAACCCATCTCAATTCCTAAAGCACCTTACAAAGGCCCTCTTACAACATTCTAATCTAGACCCCAAAGGTACAGAGGGTAGGCAACTTCTGATGACCTATTTTTTCTCCCAGAGTTACCCCGACATCAGGGCTAAGCTTAAATGCTTGGAGAGAGGACCTCTGACTCCACAGGCAGAAGTCTTAGTGCTGGCCTTTAATGTGTACTATGGGAGAGATAAGAAAGCCCGAAAGCAAAAATACCAAATGCTGGCCAATGCCATCCGACCTGCCTCAGCCGCTACCCAGGCTCCCTTGCCTTCTAAGGCCTGAGGACCGTGGGCTCCCTTTTTCAAATGTTGTCAAGAAGGTCACTGGGTCCAGTTTTGTCCTACCCCCCCCAAGGCACCTGGGCCATGTCCAAAATGCCACCAAGAGGGACATTGGGGTGTTGAATGCAACCGTTTCTCCCATGAAATGGGGGCATCACTCCCAAATTGCCCTCTGGTCGATATCCTAGGTCTGGCTATGGACAGCTGAAGGTGCCCAGGTTCCCTAGACCCGACCACTGCCATCAGTAGCAGGGAACCACAGGTAATTATGGTACTGGGGCAGCCCATCTCCTTCCTTGTGGACACCAGAGCCACTTACTCAGTCCTGATGGAGTATTGGGGACCAACCTCTCCTTCTAGTTCCCTTATTGTTGGGGTAGGGAAACAGCCTTTTCAGCCTTGCCAGTCTTGCCAGACTCCACCACTTAATTGTATTTTCAGGGGTGTTCCCTTGACTCATTCCTTTCTAGTGATGCCAACCTGTCCAGTTCCCTTACTGGAAAAGGGCTTTTTAGCCAAAGTGGGAGCC